TTATCTGTCTTTCTTTAATCTAAAGATGAACTTCCAGACTATACTATACATCATACAGAATGAAAGAACTTAATGAATTTAGAAGTACGCTGTCTGGTATGGAGTTGATGAAAAATAGCAACTACATTTGAACAACTGGAGCTTTTGCTCTTATTTTGACTCTTTAACATCTCACTCAATTTGGGATAAGTGAAGTTTCTTCTTTCCTAAATGGCTCTGAGGTTGAGAGCAACTCTCAGAGTTGAAGCTAAATTTTACAGCAAAGTAACAAAGCCTGACAAAGGTTACAATAGAATGCTGACCCCACCTTAGCACATGACTGGCGCCAACACAATGTAATCAAAACATGTGGCAAATAATTTATTTTTAGTAACAGTCAAGAGAAGAAGAAATTTCTACATTGAAATAAAGTACATTTGCTGGTTATTACTAGATTCTGACATCATAACACTTCTGCACTCTATGAGGTGACCTGAAGGGAGGCAGAGATCCAGGCAGCACATGCCTGAGGGTCGCTGACACATCAATTGTTTTGCTTCCTCAGTGAGTCAAACTGGAATCTTTCTGCAACAAGCAACTTCCACTTTTTTTTAAGTATAAGTTCATTAAGGGGATTAAAACAGGAAGGAAAAATACTGAATTCTGATCACAAATAATAGGCAAAAGAGTAGAACATCCCAATTGTGCAACAACAGGGTAGATATAAAAGCAAAACTGTTTTTAAGTATGATAGGGATGGATGTTAACTAGACTGATTGTGGTGATCATTTCTTAATATATACAAATACAGAATCATTATGTTATATACCTGAGGCCAATAAAATGTTATATATTAGTTATACCTCAAATAAAATAAAATCTGAAAACACTGAAGACAGACACTTTACAGGCCTGGCGTTCCTTCAGATTAGAATTGAGCAGGGAAAAAAAATGTGAGGCAACAAGAGCTGATCCCTGTGGTTCACAGAGTTCAATCCCAACTGGAGAGCTGTAGTTTTACATGCATTTATGAAAGGAGATGGGCCCATCTCAGTATTGATTCAGAGTATTCTCAATTTCCTATCCTTGGATGACTCTCTGACCACTTCTTATCTTTTGGAAAGTAGATCAGCACTGCTACTTCACCATCCAAGAGAAGTTAACCTGTGGTCCTTCTTTCTGTTCTGTCTTTTTAATTCTCAGTTATTCAGTTTTCTCAGCTCATCTCCTCAGGGAGAGGTTTGCATGGGAGGGTGTGTGCATTCACTTTTCCTTACTGTCATCATCTTGATCACTTACAATTATATAGCACTTTCCACTTTCCACACTCTTTCAAACATCCCACAGAAGTAGCATTATTACTCCCAATTTACTCAGAAAGAAAGTCAGTATTCACAGACTTGCCATTCATACACATGATCCATTCCAACCCCCATCCTGAAAAAGGGATTTATTGTGGCTCACATGGATATGCATTACGTAAATGACTTTTCCATGTAAGCAAAGCTCATTCCTTTTGGACACCAAAGCTTCATTTTAACCATTCTGTAGGAAATCCTCCTCCAAAAGCTTATATGTCACAAAGATAGTCAACATAATTTAACCTTTTCTTGAAGACACGAGGTTGTCATTACAAACATCTGTTAGTTTATAATGATGTGATACAGTTTTGCTTCTTTGAATCTAGCAGTTTCCCCCTTATCGGTTATCTGCTCTCACGTCTTTAGTGAACCTGACACTTACAACCCCTTTTCAGCTTCAAATGCCCCAACTCCTCTAAGCCAAGAATTAAATAATCATGTTTATTAAGGACTGCATATTAGAGAGGGCTCAGGGATGATCTAGAAAGTAATGTTAATGGGTTTATTACAGAAACCTGAAAAAAGCATCTCACTTCTCAAAGAAAGCCCTTTCCACACAGACTTCCCATTCCAGGTCAAGAAAGGAAAACCTGGTGCTGCCGAGTCCAAACTTCAGATAAGCTAGGAGCTTGTACACTCTGATATCTATTTGCACTCACATCAGCCAATTCCTTACATTCTCCTGTAAGTTATCTGCAAATAGGTCTTGAGGCAGAGTAGCAATCTATGAGTATTACTTTCTTCTCCAGTGTTAATAGTATTATTTTAAATCACAAAAATGTTAACAATCTACTCCAGATCTCAAAATTGCTTTAATAACTCCAGAAGAAAAAGAGAAAAAAAATCGTAGTTGATAACTAATGCAAAAACATTGTTTCCAAGCATTGCTCACTTTGAAGAGGGGAAAATCCCCTAGAAGTTAAGCTATCTGATACTGACAAGAACGAGCTATGTGAACTTAGCTAAGTAACTGGCTTCTCCATTCCAAATAGTCTTTTTTTGTTTTTAAATTGCCTAATATGATTGAACAAATGTGATTTTTAAAAGTCCAAACCCCTCAGCCTTCAGAAGTATTGGCATTTAAAGTAGGATTTGAAAGCAAAATCTGTGAAGAGGATGACATCTAGTGGCTTCTCAGTTTATACATCCTTACTAGTCAACGCCAGGTAGTCACCACTGATTGCTAACATCTCATACATGCAAACATGTAGAATTTTAAAACACAGTGGTTCATAGAGGATCATCTATTTCAATCTCCCCATTTTACACTCATGATAACTGAAAACCAAAGCAGTCACAGCCTTGCTTCAGTTCACACAGCTAGAGGTTATCCAAAGTCTACTGTTTCAAATTCAGTGTTTGTTTTTAATTTTTGTTCCCAACAAAAAAGGGCAACAAATAACGTCAGAAAAGAGTGAGAAGGATTTCATTCTTGTGTGTAACATCATAATCTATCATCACACCTGCTAGTGGTTATCATGATGGTTTCTGTTTGTTTACTTGCATAATTTTCCCCATTAGTCTTAAGTTTGATGAGGCTAGGTACCCCAGGTCTCACTCACTTTTGCAGCCCCAGCACCCAGAGTTATTGAGTCTATCACGTAACCGGGCAATGTTCAGGAACAATACAGATATGTGCAGATATTTTTGGAGAAAAAATGATCTGACCACACAGTTCAGGTAGAAAACCAGGTGGTCCTTTACCAACAGGTATTCAAGACCCATATCTCAAGAAGGATCTCCCATTTATCACTCCACCCCGTCACCACCACCATTTTTCCTTTCAGTTTAATAAGGTGGAACTTCATTTTTTTAAACCAGTGTTCTCAACTGTGAGAGATGTTTGGCCCCACAGCCCATTTGGCAATATCTAGAAACATTCTCATTATCACACTAGAAGGGTGCTACTGACATCTAGTGGGTTGAGTGTCTAGTGTTACTTACAAACAACAGAAACGTAATACTCACTGTTCTGGAAACTCCAAAGTCACAAAGTCAGCAGATTTAGTATCTGGTGAGACCCAATTTCCTGGTTCATAGATGGCTGCCTTCATGCTGTTTCCCCTATGGTGGAAGGGATAAGGGAGCTCTCTGTGGTCTCCATCATGGAGGCAATTCACGAGGCCTCCATCCTCAAGACCTAATCAACTCCCAAAGTTCTCACCTCCTAATAGCATCACACTGGAAATTAGGATTTCCCCAAGTAGGTATTTGAGTGTTTGGGAATACAAACATTTAGTCCATAATAGTCAGTCTCCAAATCAGACCTAAGGGAAGTCTACAAAGTGTGTATCTGGAGGGCAAATATCATAAATGCCACAACACAGTCCATCCTTTCTGATCCTCAGCATGGAGTCATCTGAATTCGAATAAAAACTGTAATACCAACACATATCAATAATTTTGTTCTGGATGATAACTACTCATGTTCCCACCTGAAAACTAAATGTTAGCTAGCATTATTTCTTCATATAAGGCAGAAGTATATAAATAATGAGGGAAAGAAACAGTTAAGTAATATTTAGCAAAGCTGCCATGATCCCTAATACTATAGCTGTTCACTAGCTTGAAACCGGTAATCATAGCTGTCTTCCAGGGGACTATCACACCTGGAAATGGATGTTCAAATGAGAGGTACCCAGACTGGAGTCCCCTTAGATGCAAATGACCATCCTGCAGACAGAAGGACAGAAAATATGGTACACCTTGAGCTTCATGATGAGATGAAGATGCAAACCACAGAGCAGGGAAGGTTCCAGAATAAACAGGCTAATGATAAAGAATATTCCAATATTGCAAAATTCGTCAAGTCTCCCCTTATTTGCCACCTTTGTTATTCTCTTCATCTATTTTTTGTTTATAAAGGCAAGAGGCAAGCAAGGAAAATGGTAACTTTAAGGGAAAGATAGATATAAAATAGAACAATTTTGAAAATTAAGAAAAGGGTGGTTTTTCAAAAGGCAGTTGAGGACCTCCCTGGTGGCACAGAGATTAAGTCTCAGTGCTATCAAGCTACCACTGTGGCATGAGTTCAATCCCCGGCCAGGGAGCTACCCACATGGCACAGAAGACCTCTCCTGTCTCACCCTCTGCTCTCCTCAGCAGTGTATTGTAATGGATCCACCTGTTCTGCTTCCTACTCTGCCTCTAGTGGATCCTCTCACCCCCTGCACCCCAGGGGTGGGGGGGTGGGGGGGTGGGGGGATGGGGGGTGGGTCCGGGAAAGCCCCACAACACGGAAGTCCCTCCAGGTCTCGGGCCACGAAGGCCGCATGAAACTGGGCTCCACTTGGGACCCGTTCCAGGGCCCCGCACGCCGTTCAGCCCAGTCCTCTCGTCCGCTACGGTGGCCGAAAAGGGCCAGGCTGGGCGATCGACGCCGCTCGGAAGCAGGCGCACGCGCAGTGCGGACTTCCCGGCTCTGGCAAGAGGCCAGCCCAGGTCCCGCCGGGAGTGGGGGTTCAGTGTCGGCCGCTTATGCGCCAGACCCACCGCACCCCGATTTCCTAGAAGGGCTGTCACCGAAGAAGCTTTTCCATTAGTTCAAAGAGGGGAGGGCCCGCCTTCCCCGGTTGCCGATTGGCCGCCGGGGCGCCGGGCCTAGTGAGGGGCGGGGCCCGGGCGCGCGCGGATTGCATCAGCGGGGCCCTTCCGGCCACGTGGCGCAGGCGCAGTGCTGCCGGCGCCCGCCGCTCTGCTTTCCTGGGGCCGGCCCAGTCGGTTCCGTCTCCTCTTCCTGCTTCGCCCATGTTGGAGGAGACGTCCAGCAGCCCTTCAGCGAAGATGGGAGGAGAGGAGAAGGCGGTGAGCGTTCTGAGTGGGGCCCGGAGGCCGGGCTGGGGCTCTCCTTGACGCCCCCGTCGCCCGGTCGGGCCCGGGGGAGAAGGAAGCTTCCCGGGCCAGCTGGGGGGGACGAGTCGGGGGCGACGATGGAGCCACTGGACGAGTCAGAGCCGGTGTGGGGAGGAATCGCCCATTCATAAAGCAAAGCAGAACTTTGCCAGACACCTCTGGGGTGCCCCTCTTTTGGCAGATGAAACTGAGACTTGGAGTCACCTCCTCAGAGACACACATCTAATTAGAAGCCGAGACAATTACAATCTAGAATCTTCGGACCCAGATTAGTATTTTTGCCTCAATTTAGGCGGGAAGAATGTTGCAGAGCCTCACTTAATCCTAAAACACTGTAGAGGCAAAGATCTCCAGGTTAAGGAAGGAAACCCTAGTCCCGAGACCACACTCAACCTACCCAAGTTTGGGTGGTTTATATTAAATGGTGGAAGCCAGATGACCCCCCCAGACACACACACACACACACACACTCTTTCTCTCTCTCTCTCTCTGAGAGGTTCCCATGAGAGAGAGAGAGGTTCTCTGAAAGAGAGAGAGAGAAATCACACCCTTCCCGGATCTGGTGCTGGAGACACGCCATATAGTTACACATGTTGATCATTTCACCTCTGAACTTTCCGTTTGGTGTCATCCATTGGTTTGGGACATGTCCAGGTCACTTTGATTCCACCGGGTCGTGTCAAGTATTTTGTCTTGCTGGGCCCTGTGCTGGGTGAGGCAGCTAGAAACACGAATAGGGTGCAGTACCTGACTTTGAGAGCCCCACAGCTGGTGTATGAGAGACAGCCATAATGGAAAACAGCCATAATGCAGGAAAACAGCCATAATGCAGTGTGATCCACCCTGAGGAGTTACAGAGAGGGTGTGCCTAACTAACTCTGCTTGGGTCCACTGTATTTGAGAGAAAGAGGGTAAGTTCACCAGATAGCCAGGCAAACCTTTCCAGGTAAAGGTAGGGGAGACAGTGAAAAGGCACACCAAGTGTGTCCTTGGGGTTGTTTGCAAGAGGTATAGCTGAGCAGGGAGTGACAACAATCAGAAGAACCTTAGACAACCAAGGATATTTGAAATTCTACACATAAAGGTTTTTAAGCAGGGAAGTGTAGTATCTGGGTTATGGTTTTAAAAATCATTATGTTTTAGTCAGACTAATTTAGTCATTCTTCCCTTTTTTTTTTTTTTTAGCATTTTGACAATAAGTTCTTATGTACCCCTAAAACACATTTCCTCCCTTTAAAATCTAGTCTACTGAAATCTCCCCTATGCATTTAAAGTCCTTAAGGCCCTAGCACTTGCTGCTGTCCTAACTGATTGGACATCTGTCAGAGCGTGCAGCTGTGTTCTTCTCCAGGAATGTCTCACTCATATGCCTTAGTTTTCCTGGAGAGAATAAGTTTGCCTGGAGTAAGGGTTGGGGCTTATGTTTAACAAAATGTTGTTAAATATAGGGTTTAACAAAATATTATGAGCACACAGGTGCTTGGTAGTGCTTGTGGAGAAACACTGCGTTAGGGTTTTTTTCCTCCTCTCTGAAAATAACTGGCTACAAATGAATATTTAGTATGTGTCCAGGTAAACCCGAATTGAGAGTCTCAGGAACAGTAAAATAAATAAAATATAAGAACTTGAACATTATCAAGTAACTTTGTTTTTAGAACTTTTTATACTTAATTGTTACTTTTTGGCAGTGGTGAACTTTACCAGCTTTCAGAATGAGTTAACACTTTTTTAAAAATTATTAAATAGATTCTAAAATAATATCCTGACAACTTTCTGGGGACAGCATGAAGGATATCATATTAGATTAAAATGTAAAACCTCCATTTCTTTTTTTTCTTACTTAGGTAAGTGCCAATGAGGAGAAGCGAAAGGAAGGGGGCAAGAAGAACAAAAAAGAAGGATCTGGGGATGGAGGACGAGCAGAGGTAAGTGTTTGAAGGCTCTGTTTAGGGAGGTTGACAGGTGGCGGTCTCAGACTAAGCCTGTGAGTAAGATTACAGGGGCTGTGGCAACAGATGGAAACATTGGGGAGAATTAGGCTTTCAAAAGCCACACAGTCAATGTGCTTCCCGAGTTTTGGCTCTAGGAGGCAGTGAAGCCTGCCTTCTGCTTCATTTTTGAAGTTGAACTGCTGTGAACTATGCTTCACTTTTTGCTTTAGTCATTGCAGTTGTTTTATTGGGGACTACAAAACTACCAGAATGCAGAAGCACAAAGGAACAGGCTTTTTAAAAGTGTACTATAGCACTATAAACTGGTTGTAAAGAACAATTTTATAAATGCTGTGTTGCAAAATTTATAATGCTTTCATTTACTTAAGGATAGTTATGTGGATGATCAAGAATAACTAAGGTTGCTTGGAGCCCTACCTAATCACTTCTTTTACGTTTTATCCAGCATATTCCACTGTAATTGGGGGTGGGGGGGGGAGGTTGGTTGTGATTTTTTTTAATTCGCAATAGAAAAATGCATGTGTTCCCTAATTTTGTTTTAGTACTTTCAGTACAACTGTACATGCTAGTCTATTGAAACATGAGAATTAGCCTGGAGATAGGAAACAGTACAATTAGAGGGCTCTTCTGAGTGGATAATTTTAAGTGCTGCACGTGGCCATGTGTGTTCCCAGTGGTCTGTCTGGCCAAGAGTGTACAGGGAGGTGCTCTCCCGGCATTGGTATACTTGTCTTGTCCCTCTTCTAAGGGCGACCTGCTGGCTTATTCTTCTCTGCAATCCCAGGGCCTCAGTAGCTGTCTGCTCAGTGAATGTCGAATAGTTCTGATTGCAAAGTGCCAAGTACATACTGAGACAAACTGCACTAAGATGCAGAGGGACACAGGGTGGGCAGGACTACAGTGCTTCTGAGTGAGCAAGGCCAGGTAGTATCCTTTGGCCTGAGAAGTTCAGCGCTGGGCTGCAGAATGATGACAGGCTCTCAACTTGGAATTAATTCATGGGTGTTTCACCATGGAGGTTTATGGACCCTGTGATAATTTAATGAAAAGATCCCAAAGAGCCATTAAAGAAAAGGTAGGGCTGCTGCAGGGGGAAATTATAAAGAGATTAGGGCTCTTCCATGTCAAAGATAAAGGGTGAGAAAGAAATGATTGAAATGAAAAGATTTTATATAAGGGGGGAAGAAAGTGCTACTCTATATGAGATAAACTTCCCATTTCCAAGAAGTTATGTTTGAACAGGCTGACAGCATAAATTTTATATTTTTTGAATTCCGCAAATATTTCTTCAAATGGGAGCCCTTCCGTCAAATGAATTTATAGTTGGTTAGGTAAGAATTATCAATGGACTTATAGCCTGACCAACTACAGAGCATCCCTTGGACAAGATTGAAACAAAATAGAAAAGCCGGCTAGTTGTTTTTATTTGTAGTTATAAGATCATTTACTTAAAAGAGACCTTAAGAGAACATCTTAAAAGAAAAAAAATCACCTTATACAAATAACAGCAAAATGATAATGATTTCCATTCAGGATTTTGACAGCCCACCCAGATCTTTATGATGTTATTTATACTTTGCTGTTTGTTTTTAAATTTTTTCAAGTAAAAACTTTAAGAGGGAAGCATTTACTTTCTTCTTTCACTTTCATGCAGAACAAGGTTAAGGTAATACCTGGTGATTTGAGCAATCTCTTTACTGTGTTGAATTGATAATCATAGTTTGTGTGTTATTTTTCTTTCTTTCCCTTTTCTGAAAAGGAAAAGCAAGTGTTTGCTGAATATGTCTTTCCTCCTTTGTGTCTTGCAGTTGGATCCTTGGCCTGAATATATTAACACACGTCTTGAGATGTACAATAAACTAAAAGCAGAACATGATTCCATTCTGGCAGAAAGGGCAGAAAAAGCCAGCAAGCCAATTAAAATTACTTTGCCGGATGGTAAACAGGTTGACGGGGCATCCTGGAAAACCACACCGTACCAAATCGCTTGTGGAATTAGGTAGATGGGACCTTCTATTGTTTGTGACCAAACTTTCTTTTATTATCTTGCCACCTTTTAACCTCATAATGTTTTTATGTGTCTACTTAATGTTTTTAACATGTTTAATTTACCTCATTTGGGATTTTTAAAATCCAAAATTATGTGGAGCTTGGTAGTCTTTATTCAATGTTAATTTCTGAAAGAGTTCACTTTTTGTCTTCTCTTATGAAGAATTTTATACACTAGGTTTCTTCTTTGTTCACAAATGTCACAAAACCAAATAGATAATGTTTCACCTATTTAGACTTAAATACCTAAGTTTTGAAGTTAAAAATGAAGGTGAATTATTTCAGATGTGGAAAGTTAAACTAATATATGACACAAGAAAAAGCAATACTATTTTTTTTAATCCATAGAAAGGTGCTATCTAATCTTAAAACTTGTAATTGCACTTAGAAGAAGTTATTTCAAGTAACTGAGAATTAGATGTATATTAGTAGAGTAAATGCTTTCTTAATCTGATAGAATAGAAATCAATAGTTGGTATGTTTGCTAGAAACTAATAAAGTTGGGAATATGTATTGGTGCCTATATTTTATATCAGGTGTTGGCAAACTGGCCAGAGCTGGTCCAAACTACTCTGCCCATGCGCTTTCCCCTCTAGGGATTCCTTGTACGCTTGTTGTTGTTTGACATCTCATCCCCAGATGATAGTTTTATTGTCTACATTGTATTGGGTGTCTAGAAGTCCTTTTTATCCACATTATTTAAAAGGTCTTATTGATTAGTCCTTTATGTTACCTATATATTTGTTTAAGTAATATCATCTTAGGCATTTATAGATTTTCTGAAGTTAGCATTGCCGCTCAAAGAAAATACTGCTTAGATTTCAAGTAGGAGGAAGAGAGAGAAGTTATTTTGTAACTTTCCTTTTTTTCATTTGGCATCTAAATAGTTTGGCTTTGTGAGAAACTTTGAAGAAAGTAAAAGTTAATCAAAACACAGGAAATTTATTATTGCTTGTTCAACCAAGTTACCATGTCTGCTTAAATAAGAATTGAGTGACAAATAATAGTGTTTTGAATTGCATGTTTTAGATTTTGTTCCTTTTTCCATCTTATTTCAGAAGAGACACATACATACTCATATAGTGTCTATTTTCCTGTTCTTATTCTCAAATGTTGTGCTACAGAATACTCTTTTAGAGTCTTGTGTTTCTAAACCTATCTGTATTTTTTAAGTCAAGGCTTGGCTGACAACACCGTTATTGCGAAAGTGAATAAGGCTGTTTGGGACCTAGACCGTCCACTGGAGGAAGACTGTACCTTGGAGCTTCTCAAGTTTGAGGATGAAGAAGCTCAAGCAGTAAGTTTTCCTTCAGTATTTGTTGAATTTCAAATGAAGAATCACATTTTCAGTATTCCAGTCAATGTCACTGCCAGTGGGTGGCTAAAGTTTATGGATATCCCATTGTCTTATTTGGTATCTTCATTTTGTTTTTTATTTAGGGAACATAATGAAAATATTTGCCCTCTAAAATTAGGAGATGGAGTTGAATAAATTCATTTTCACTTCTACATGCTCAAATGGGGACTATGTTCTGAGAGTTTTATTAAACTTTGATTTAGCAAGTAAAAATTGTGTTCTATAGTATTAATCAACACTTCAGCAAGATGCATTTGTTTAACAAATATATTTGAACAAATATATTTGCCTGTAGTGGACAGTTTTTCTTATGTTAAAATGCTGATCTGCTTAAAATACAATAAAAATCAGCCTGCATTTGATGGCACGGTTTCCTCATTTCTCCATGACTACAAGCCACAAAAAATACTGTGTTTCAGTGATGATGGTTGCTGTACTTATGTGTGTGAATCAGTGGTTTTCAGATATATTCTAGACTCTTTAAGTTTTAAATCAGAACTTCAAAAATCATTACTAATAAATCTTTAAAATGTTGTGTTGTATATATCCAGACTCATCAGAATCATCAGATTAAACCAAGTGCTGCCATTGATTTCAGTCTCCTTATGTTTGTCCTTATGTTTTACAATTGTATTGTGTGATCAAGTTGCACCACCTTAGTTGTTTAGGGTCAATAAGAAAAACAATGTGATTCTTAAGAGATGCTCCAAGCCAAGTAGAGGGCAGAATCCCGTGCTTGGCATGCAGTGCTATGGGCTGTGGACTCTGAAGACCCTGTGGCAGTAATGTTAATAAGACCATCACACTGTGGGTGAGAAATCCAGATGATTTCTAAGATACAAATATAATTTAGTGATTAGAACAAGTTATTTTGGCTCTGAATCACACTGCAGTTTATAGATCTGTACATTTTGATTTTTATCTCTTGGATTTAGTCATAATAAATTTCATAGATCGCTTGCAGATAAATCATTTTCATTTACAAGTTGTTTGCCCACTTAAACCATCCCTTTTTTCTTTGGATTTTCAGGTATATTGGCACTCTAGTGCTCACATAATGGGTGAGGCCATGGAAAGAGTATATGGTGGATGTTTGTGTTATGGACCACCAATAGAAAATGGATTCTATTATGACATGTACCTTGAGGAAGGGTGAGTTATGTGACTAAAGAAAATTAAATCTGAATTACATTATTTTTAAAGATATCTCAATAAACAAGCTTATTGCATCATAGTCACAAAGTATTCCCCCTATCAAAACGTGAAATGTTGTAGTAGCATATGAAGTTGTAGACACTTGGAAGATAACTTTGGTCTAAACTGATGGAAGTGGAACCCTGAGGTATACTAGAGAAGAACAAGTTAAGTTGGTCCTCTCCTCTTCTGGAAACCTGGTTATAGGGATAGTTGACTAGAGGGAACTATATCGATAACTGAAGTAAATGCCCCTGAAAATAGAGCGATAACTTATGAAAAGTATTTAGTTTATAATTCAGTATATGAGGCAAAAGTCTAATTTTTTTTATATATTAAAACCCTTGAGGTATTCTAAAGAATCGTTCCTCCAAACTGCAGTTGAGAGTAGAGTGGAATGGACGGAAGAAGATTAATTATACTTTCTTTCCCTTCAGGGGTGTGTCCAGCAATGATTTCTCTTCTTTGGAGACTTTATGTAAGAAAATCATTAAAGAAAAACAAGCCTTTGAAAGATTGGAAGTTAAGAAAGAAACTTTGTTGGAAATGTTCAAGGTAAATTGAACGAGAACATGGCCTCCACTCACAGCACTGTTAATATCACTTGAAGTTGTCCCACTGGGGTGTAGTGTACTAAGTGGAAGCTTATTCTATTCTTTAGAAAAATTTTAACAGTTTTCAAAACATGAAACATTGACATATTCAGGCAATGCTTTGAAAAGTTGTATTTCTGAGTTACATTTTAGCTATAGTATTTAGAGGTACAAGTCGAAGGGGAGTTTTTTTGAAGAATACTTTTTCCTATTTTCAGTACAACAAGTTCAAATGCCGGATATTGAATGAGAAAGTGAATACTCCCACTACCACAGTTTATAGGTGAGAAAATCAAAGATCATTAAATGCATGTGGTGTCTGTGTCATTTTAAGTCTTTGTTAAAATTCCTTTCTTTCTATCCTTAGGTGTGGTCCCTTGATAGATCTCTGCCGGGGTCCACATGTCAGACATACTGGCAAAATTAAGACTTTAAAAATACACAAAGTAAGCAATGCATCTTCAAAGATTCTGTCTATAAATAGATTTTTCTGCTATAGATAAATGTTTAAGTTTTTATTGGTTTCTTCTCTTTGCTACCATTTTTCTCTTGCATATGTAAGGGTGAATTTTTTTCCTTCTGCTGCCTACCGTCTCAGTGCTAAATGTCGTTAGTCCTTTTTAATTCAAGTTCTCTCAAAGAGTGACTGATATATTTGTCATTGGTCATCAGAGCACACAGGGATGTGGGGTTGGGGGCCTAAAATCATAGTCATCGGCCATCACTGCTCTACAAATCTTGAGTCTCTGTAGGGGTATGTGCTTTTTAACCACAATTAAACCTGCCAGTTTTATAGTAGCTCATAAATACTTTATGGATGATTATTAAAATGCACTTTAAATCTTAGTAATTGGGTCATTTCGAGATTTTTTGGGGGGTTTATTTTCCTTTTTGATCATGAAGTTGTGGTTGAGCTGGTCTTTGAGGGAAGTAAACAGCTTCATGCTGTGGAGGGAGCACAGCTCTTCTAGCAAGGCCTCAAAGCAGCTGGGAGGTGTTTACTAAGTATGCACTTGTGGTGCCACTTTTATGGTCATGAGGACTAATAGGAGTGTCACTAATAAAGTGTCTGAGAAATGACATTTAACTCTTAAAATAAGTGAGATACTTACATATTTCAATATTGTTTTTTGGTTAATGCTTGTTTTCAGAATTCCTCTACGTACTGGGAAGGTAAAGCAGATATGGAGACACTCCAGAGAATTTATGGCATTTCATTTCCGGATCCTAAAATGTTGAAGGAGTGGGAGAAGTTCCAAGAGGAAGCTAAAAACCGAGATCATCGGAAAATTGGGAGGGTATGTTTAAAATGAACAGTAATGTATCTAGACTGACTTTTCTTCATTTTCATTTGAAATTTAGCTGCAATAACTAGATGCAGCTATGTAACGTGTGATCTACTGACTGATTATTCACATTATCTTTTCTGGAGTGTGGTCAATACCACACAAATTCATTTTAATTTCTTCTTTTATTGAGAACAAATGTTGTTGACCTATCATATTCTGTAAAAGAAGTATTGCAGCTTTTCATAGAGCTGGGAAATAGCTTGGAAATTGCCTAGTCTTATTGACTTAAAGATGTGGAAGCTGAGTCCTAGATTTACTCTGCTGTTGCCCAAGATGATAAATGAGTTATGGGTGGATGCTATGAGGTCATTTCCTTTCTCCCTCTACCCCTGAATATTTTCTAAACTGGAAGTTAGGTTTAATAAAAACATTCCCTTCTGAAACTGTTCACTCTGTGCTAAGTGCTTTTGGCTATAGGGTATAAAGCTTCAACATAAGGCAGCATGACTGTCTGAAATAAGTTCTAGCAGTAAGGAAACGAGGCAGCCCTTGTTGGTCCCCTCCGTGAGGACTTGGGCATTTAGAGGGGACACTTTTACTGTGACCCAAACTCAGTCACCTTCCTCCCCATTTTCTCTTCATTATCATTTCTTTTTTCCAGTCTCCTTTCTGCTGTTCCTACTTCTCAGGAAAAAGGGAAAACAGATCTTGGAGCTTTGAAAAAGTAAAAATAGAGGAGGCCCTGCTATGGGTAGTGGAGAGAGTTGGGCCCCTGTTTCATGTCACTCTTGGGTAAACTTGACTGTGTTCAGCAATGTAACAGGCAGAGGACATACTTGTGCTGAGTAGTAGATCAGCTGCAACTCTGTGCCATTAAATTGTATAGCAGAGTGTAAACATGTTTTCTTTCACGCAGGAGAGTGGGACAAACTAAAATATGAGACATCGTGACTGTATTCTGAACTCAAGAACACAAGTTTATGTTGATGTTTTATGTCTCTATAAACATTCTTTGCTTTTTTTTTTTTTTTTCTAATCCTAGGACCAGGAATTGTATTTCTTCCATGAACTCAGCCCCGGAAGTTGCTTTTTCCTGCCAAAGGGAGCGTACATTTATAATACACTAATGGAATTCATCAGGGTAACCCATATTCATTCTTTTCTTATGTAGATTTAGGACCTGTGTTGACTTTATTAAATAAGGTCTGATTAAAGGAAAGATAACTTGTATTTGAGATGAAACATTTAAAAGGATAAATAAAAATGGAAGTTTGGCGTCTCTTAAAACATTTAAAAAATTCTTCCTAATCCTGATTTTGTCCGCATATGTGGGTGTGTACACAGGAAAGAACTTGACCTAGCACCTGGGACCCTTTATATAGGAGCTGTGTGAGCCTTTGACCCTTCATTTGTATTTTCTTGAAAAAACAAGTTAGTTTTTACATTGCTTTTTCTTTTCTTTATGAATTATGAAGTACATGTTTATAGAGACTAGTACCACCAACATCTGTGTACTCACCACCTAATCTAGCGCATACTTACATTGGACTATGAGCACTTCAGACATTTATTGAAGTAAAGTAATCCGTATACTGGACACTGGTGTAAAAGTTTCTCCACTATAGCAAATCTTGCTGCAGTGGCATTGTTTTCACAACCCTCTTATGTATGTGAGCATGGCTTTCCTCTTTGGTGTACATCTCTCAGTGGAATTGCTCGATCATTCTTTATGTGCATCTTATTTTGACTAGCTCGTAAATGCGTAATTGCCCTTTAAAATTTTATTCCTTCTGGAAGTGTGACCATTTACTTAACCACACGTGCTTTTTTTCCCTAACAGAGTGAATATAGAAAACGAGGATTCCAGGAGGTGGTCACCCCAAACATCTACAACAGCCGACTCTGGATGACCTCAGGCCACTGGCAGCACTACAGCGATAATATGTTCTCCTTTGAGGTGGAGAAGGAGCTGTTTGCTCTGAAACCCATGAACTGCCCGGGACACTGGTATTCAGCGACTTTGAGTTTCTATCAAAGATTTTTCCATCGTGCATGAGTCCTAGATGGCTTCCCCTCCTTTGAAAGGATCTTTGTTAAAGATAAATTGTGTCATCAGAAAGTATTTAAATGCAACATTTGTGATATTATATCTTGCCTGCCTGATTAGATCCTCAGATCTGTAGACATTGACGAATGGTGCTGGGGTGATGTCAGTGAACAGGCAGGATAAAACAGGGAGATGAACGTGGGGCACAGTGCATTCTCGGGGAGTGGGGAGGCGGTTGTTTTTTAAGAGAAATGTATTCTGTCAAAACCTACTGCTAATGAATTGACATCTCTGAAAAATCTACCTTACCTTGAGGCTGTTGTGCTTTCTATGTCTTTGAAAGCTGGGTGAAGAACCTTTGGGAGACAATTAGGGGGAGCTATGACTGCGGTAGCTCATTGTCCACAGGTCCTCATAGCAAGGCCTCTAGCAGAGGAAGTGAGAAAGGAATCTCCACAAGGATACTCAGTTGTAGGTCAGGGAAGCAACCTAATTCCTTGAGTTTTCCCTAATATTTTTAAAAATTTCTGAAGTACCTGCAGACTAACAGGAAACTGAGGCACTTTTGGAGCAATAAGAACATAATAGACTTTAGCTTCCAGTGCTATAAGTGGTTTAGGTATAACTTAAGATTTCAAAAATATATTCATAAGCCTTAAAGACAGTCCTCAGATTTGACTCCAGACTTAATGGGAATAAACTTTTTATTCTTTTCTGGTTATAGTTGGTTATTACATTTGCTGTTTCATTCATGCAAGGGCATATACTGAAGCCCAGAATTTGAAAAATGTTGCTTGTATGGACAACTAGAATCAATAGCTTTTAGCCAGCCCTTCATACTACTACTAGGGAAGCAGTTTTATTTAGTGAAACTAAATAACAGTGGATTTTACTTTTCTCTTTTCGCCAGCCTTATGTTTGATCATCGGCCAAGATCCTGGCGAGAGTTGCCTCTGCGACTAGCAGATTTTGGGGTACTTCACAGAAATGAGCTCTCAGGCGCCCTCACAGGACTCACCCGAGTACGAAGATTCCAACAGGATGATGCACATATATTCTGTGCCATAGAGCAGGTATGAGAATATAGGATTAAATACTTGGAAAGAAGTAGTTAAGACAGTCAAGGAAAATGATTCATGCCCTTTTTTTTTTTTCCATTTAAAGATTGAGGATGAAATAAAGGGTTGTTTGGATTTTCTGCGCACAGTATATAGCATATTTGGATTTTCTTTTAAACTTAACCTGTCTACTCGCCCAGAAAAATTCCTCGGAGATATTGAAGTATGGAATCAAGCTGAGAAAGTAAGTGGTGTTTTCTGCATGCCTGAGTACTGTTCGACTAAAATTGCCCTGTTCAGCCATGTAAGAAAGCCAAACCTCTTTACATGGATAAAAGCAAAAGAAAATTAGAAATGATTCCTAGGTTTGTCAGCTACTTTTTTTCTATATGATTTTGTATTTTAGAAATGGTTGCATGTTTTTTTCAGTTATCAAGCTATAACAATTACAAAGTATTGGTATATGAATATGTTTAGGTAGGCAAATTTATAAAACAGAGAATAGTGACCCATGAAAGTAATTACAGTATTTTTAGTCTCAAATTAGACTTGAAGAAGGGAAGTTTCAGATGAACAAAATTTTAAGTGATTTTAATTTATTCTCAGCAACTTGAAAACAGTCTGAATGAATTTGGAGAAAAGTGGGAGTTAAACCCTGGAGATGGAGCTTTCTATGGTCCAAAGGTCAGTGCCAAAGTATATGTGAATAATATGGTTTTTATTATTGGGTGAAGAAGTATAAGAAGAAAAAAGGAAAATTAACCTTAATACCACTGTTGAGTTCAGCTCTAATATGGACAGCATCTTACAATAACCAATCTTTGCTTCTTAGATTGACATACAAATTAAAGATGCAATCGGTCGCTACCATCAGTGTGCAACGATTCAGTTGGATTTTCAGTTGCCCATCAGATTTAATCTTACTTTTGTAAGGTGAGTTTTTAGTGTCTGCTCTGAATGTTATTGTTCAGGGACATATAAAGGAATATATATGTACTAAGTATGTACACACACACACACACATATTTACAGCAAAACAAATTGTTTTTTTCTCTCTAGCCATGATGGTGATGATAAGAAAAGGCCAGTGATTGTCCACAGGGCCATCTTGGGGTCAGTAGAAAGAATGATTGCTATCCTCACTGAAAACTATGGCGGCAAATGGTAATTTTTGTTATCATCTTCTGGTGTAAACTGGACAGTGTAAATTTGTTAGAAATGTTTACTCTAATTTTGTCCTGCAGTGAAAAGGGAGAATGATTCCAATTAGTCATCTTAATTACTGATAAGTGCTCAGTAAAATATTAGGAACCACAATCTGAAGCCCCAATTTTTTTAGTTTTAATAGTACTTATTTGTTATGAGTAATTATTTTTATCCTAGAACTTGATTTGCTCGAGTAGTATGTAACACTTTCTCATTATGATTTTCCTTACAAGATCATTTTCTGCACCTTATAGTCTCTATCTTTAAATGGCTTTGCATGCTTTAGGAAAGGAGGCGTAGACTTAGTCTGAGGAGTAGACTAAGAAATGTGCCATCCCTGTTGAGGGAAAGTGCCCAAATCCACATTAAATGTTTGATTTCTTCAAAAGGCCCTTCTGGCTGTCTCCTCGTCAGGTAATGGTAGTTCCAGTGGGACCAACATGTGATGAATATGCCCAGAAGGTAAGTCTGACTTACCTTAGGTATGACTCTTCTCTAAATGTAGTATCTGTTGTTCAGCTTTTTAATTCTCTTAAGTGATACATGTATATTCTTGGCAAATCAAGCTGTTGGGATGAAGAAAAATGTTACTATTTTCAAAAAACCTGAACAGATTGTATTACTTCTTAATGCTTTTCTGTGTTGTTCCATGAGCAGAAGACATCATTTGGATAGTGTTTTTGTATTATACTTGTGTATTTAGCATTTAGTATTAGCAAATAGTGACTAGCAAATGCCTTATATGACATGTAAGTCCAAATGCATAATGCAGTTTAAATTGCTTTTTGACTCAAGGAGTAATTTTACTTTCTAATACAAATTTCTTCAGTTATTTGAAACTCTTCAGGTTAACATCATGACAGACCAAGGTTTTGCCTTGCTCACCAAAAGCTAACTTACTAACAAATGTATAGTACTAATTCATATTTCACACCTTTTAAGGACTTGAACAATCTGTACTGCTATAGTTATAATTCCATGCTAAGGAATTTCAAATCAGTAAAAGTTGTGTTATGAAAAAATACTGTTTCAGGATTATATGTTAAAAGTAATAATTAAAACAGGCAAAAATCTGAAAATCAGTGGACAATATTGTAACATCAAAACTATTGTTTCCAGATCAGGATAAATTCACTTGCATTGTAACTGTCTTTAACAAAATGTGGGGCCTCCCTGGTGGCTTGGGGGGTTAAGTCTCAGTACTATCAACCTGTCAGCAGCCACTGCAGCACACAGGCCTGGCAATTTATTCTTTCAAGTAGTTGAAGGTGTAGTCTTGACATTCCAGTACTGTGCAAAGAATGCTTATGAAATACATGTTATATAAAATCCCAATAGGTTCATTGGTTAATGATCACTAAAAAAGCATGTGAACCTAATAATGACATAAAATGCTTCACTTAGATCTTTTTGTCATGTTAGTGGTAATTGGTTGGTAAGCAGATAAAAAATTTAATCTGGGGCTTCCCTGGTGCCCTAGTGCTCAAGTCTCAGCACTATTACCACTACGGCCTGAGTTTGATCCCCTGGCCAGGAAGCTGACCCACATATGGCACAGCAGACCTCTCCTGTCTCACCCACTGCTCCCCTCAGCAGTGTATTTCAGTAGTTCCACCTGTTCTGCTCCCCATTCTTGTCTCTGGTGAATCCTCTTACCCTGTGCACCTCTGGCCTGTACCCCTGTTCTACACAAAAATTAATCTGGTTTTTTCATTTATAATTAATAAAGTTTAATCTATTGCTGCTTCTTTGGAATGGAAAAATACTGAAAACATTGTTTTCTTAATATACAAGGACTTAAGACAGTAAAGTGAAACTAGTAATTGGCAGGGAATAATATATAATGTAGTTTGCAAACTGTCAATTCCTAGAAATTTATTTCAAGAAATCCTGATTTGATCTTAAATTGCTAACTCCTTCTTTTGCATCCTTCATTTAATCAATTTTCTTTTAATGAAAAAGGAAACCACTGTTCAGAAAGTGGGGGGGAACCCCTTATTTTATGTCTCACCTGATTTTTCTTTCGTATTTGAATTAATCTTGTAGAAGTCTGTTTAACTCAGTCATTGTATGCACAGCTATTGTTTTATTACTTGTATTCTATTCTGAAGGGATATAAAGTTTGGGCTATCAACTTTTCATTTTAAAAAATATTGAATGTATAATTGGCAGCAGTGAGTAGATTCATGTTACCAACTTGTTGTCTATATGAAGGATTGGAAATATGTTCTCTATTAGACTAGACATCCATCTGTGGATGTTATATGTAGACTGATAATTCATTTCCAGGAAGCCATATAGGGAAGGTGAAATGTTTATAAAGGAATTTCTTTTTTATTATAATGTATGTTTTAAGAGCTGATTACCTGATTTCTGATTTTTAAGTCTTTTCTAAAACGTCTCTTAAGAGCAGAATAGGTTATTTTGATTTTTTAAAATGTGGAGCGAAGTTATAAATTAATATTAGCTTCAGTATACCTGTTGCATTCTTTTTTTAGCACTCACATGGTTATCCAAATTGTATGTTAAATAAAATCATTCAGGTTCAAAATATAATTCTAATTTCAGATCTGAAAAATGTTGTGTCTTCATTTAAATAGGTACGGCAGCAATTCCATGATGCTAAATTCATGGCGGACATCGATCTGGATCCTGGCTGTACATTAAATAAAAAGATCAGAAACGCACAGTTAGCCCAATATAATTTCATCCTAGGTAAGAGAGAAAATTTGCCAAACTTTAGGCAAATACTAAAATCTTGATGCTTTTAGGTATAAGAGAATTGGTCATCAGTTTAGTTCCTTCTATATTTGATTCTTAACCTATAAAGTTTGTTCGTTTGATGTCACAAAGATTTGTCTAAAATTTTCTCCCCTTCTCCGCCTATTTTTTATATACTAAATAGGTATTAAGTTGGTTGAATTTAGTGATTCAATAAGCACAGCAGTTACAGGCATTGCAGCATGGTTTCCAATGAATAAATTTTTCAATAGGCTACAGAACTGTACATGGTCAGCAATATATTTTAATTAATCTAGCTACAGTGTAGCTTTTGGGTCCTAGGATCTTTTCTATTTGAATGACCAATAAGAATCTTTCCATCTAACTAAGTTTTGTATCTTTCGTTTTAGTTGTTGGTGAAAAAGAGAAAACTAGTGGCACCGTTAATATTCGCACAAGAGATAATAAAGTGCATGGAGAGCGCACTATTTCAGAAACCATTGAGAGGCTGCAGCAGCTAAAGCAGTCCCGCAACAAACAGGCGGAAGAAGAATTTTAATGAAGAACTTCGCCCATATTGGCTGAATGTAAAAGACTGAACTGTGTTTCCATAGTACTAACTTTGTACCATGGGAAATACCATTTTATTCTGAATTTGGAATAGTTTTGCAAAATCTACATAGGTAGCTACATAGGTTAACAAGGGGCTCAACCTTTTGATCTAGACAGGTATTAGACAATGTATACTTGAAGGATATAATTAAAAGAGATGCATTAAAATGATTGTACTCCTTAAATATCTGAGCCCTGGCGATAAAACATGAGGAATGTGGGAGAACGTTTTACGAATTGAATGCAGTTGAATAAATTCTTCAAATTTAATTCAGGTAAAAGAAAAATTAGATTTATTGTGTAAAAATAAAAACTTTCGTTGATGTATGTGTCATGACTATTCATTGCATACACTCTCCTACTTGGAACAAATTGCATGATTTAAATGATAAAAGATGGGCAATGGGGGGCAAATCTACAGTGTTTACTACTCTCACACCATAGTCTGAGCTGAATGCCTGCTTCTCAGTATTCACAGTGTAACATCTTTTACCGAGATAATAATTTGTGGATGCAAACCTTTTAAAACAAAGCCCACCACTGATATAATAGGGTAGATTTGCACACATTTTTAAGACAAAGTTTATCTCTCCAAAAGAATATATATGTATAAGGCAGACTGCCTTAGTCAATAGAATCCTTTGTTACACAGATTGCTGGTAAAGGGTGAATTTTAAATTATTCTGTCAGCGTTTAGTGATTGTGAGAACATTAAAAAATATATTCTTTATGTGGATATAGAATACTTTCTCTTTAATATCATTAATAGAAGACAACACCTTGTCAATTTTCTAATAACCTCAAGAACTTGTTTGCAAAAGTCACTTCAAAATTAAGCCATTTTGCATAGATTGAACCATGCTTTCATTAAAGAGATAAGATCTTTAATCATAGGGATTTTAAACTTCATAATTGAGCCTTGCTTATGACTCTGAAGACAGCCTTTGATAGGTTTGTAATTTTTATATGTATCTTGAGGGAAACTAATTTTGTCTTTAAACTAGAACTTTGCATTCTCAAATCATGTTATTAAAGTTTGATTCATTTTAAACCAGTATATTTGATCTTTTTGTTTAAAATTTCAGTTTCTTAGTTTGAATTTTTCAGCTTTTAAAAATTTATGTTATAAGTCATTGTAATGGTTTCCATAATATATAACCTGAAAACCCAAAATGTTTTAGCTAGATTTTTTTCAGTAATTATTTGTTACATCTAAGGTAACAAATAACTTATGATTTTCTAGAAATATTTAGAAAAGCTGTGTAAATCTAGCAAAGCTTAAGATATAAAAGTATAATAAAGACATAGGTTGGCAGAAACAGGAATCAAAATCCTCTATAGCTGACATCTGGAAGCCTTAGGAGACCACCCTCTAATAGCTCTTACTATTGACTTACCCATCAAAGCTCATTCCTGTAGTTAAGTTTGCTTTCTTTTCCTTCTCTTTCCTGTAGGGCAAGACTGTTCTATTTACGGTTGTTCTGTTCTGGCATGTAATGTGAAAAACTGAAAGAACCCACCTACTAAGCTTTTGTGGACCCTCTGGTTTACGTAGATTTCTATGATCTTTTTGGTAATCAAATATACAGTAACAATTTGAGAACTGATAACTATGTGATAGAATCTTAAAGACATTGCAAAGTAAAATAGGTACCAAAAGCAAAGTAGTTACCAAAATGTGTAAAATCTGGCTAAACCAAAATCTAAAGACAGATGAAATCAGGAGTACCGAGCAAATAGATTAAGGCAGGTGAAAAAGATGAAGGAGCTACATGGATGCTAATATTCTGTGACTATTTTTTCTAGCACCATGTTTTAGTTTGGCTTTATTATTTCTTTTAAAATGCTTTCTTTAAATGATTGTATTCACCCTTGAATACCTTTGATGTCTTCACATGCCCACCAAATCCCCTTGCTTTAATTCCTCACCTTTACCACAGCAGAGGCCACTTGTCCAGTGTCAGGGCACTGGCACGTGACTGCTGGACCAGTGCTTCTCAACTCACATTGGGCATGTGAATCACCAGATACTGTGGATGCAGATACCTGTATTTCTGGGCCCTGGGAGAGGCCACTGGCAGCTCCCGCTGGTGCTGAGGACAACACTGAGGAAGAGGCTGTCATTCCCCACGCTGATCACTCTTACTCTCTTCTCCCTTAAAAAAAAGAAAAAGTCAAATAATAACATAATAAATGTCTATTATGTAGATGATCTACTTTCTGGCAATTCTCCTTAACCTTATCTTCTCATTCATTTTATTGATTAAAAAAAAATTCAGCCTTCCCTTTTTTAGTTTTCAAGCGTTCTTCCTTGTTCTTACTCTATTCCTTACAGGATGCTGTAGGGGTCAGTATGTTTCTTCAGAAAAGCTTCTTCCTATTTTCCTGCAGGGTAAGCCTTGGCTTTGTGGTGTTGCTTGCAGGAAGTATCAGGAATGTCTTTACTATGGGAAACCTTTATTTATGGAAATGCATTCATGGAAAGTTGAAGGCATTTTAGAGTCTTGCCCTGCTTATCCAGATTGATGGATAGCATGAACAAGGCTAAGGTCAGAGGATCTGTATACCTCTTAAAGTCATAAACTGTCTTAGATAGATTGCCTAAAAACATATACCAGAGACCTCCTCCACTTGCTCATGATCACAAGATGTAATCACTTATCTAAAAAACAAGGACAACTCTGCCTATCTGAAGAGTAAAAAATGCTAGCTCATTATTGAATCATTTTGTTTTTTCCCATGATAGAAAAGAAACCTGTTGAAAGACAAATCTCTGCATTGCTTCACATCGGAAGATAAGAGATGGTAGAGTTGGATGAAGTTGTTTGGTTTTACATCATTCTTCATTTTTGTACAATGTATGCTTTCTCCTCTTGTGTATAGTCCCCATGAAATCCCCACCACCAATTCACCCGTGCACCATCACCATAGTCCCTTGTGTTCTTTCCTCTCCTGTTTTGATTCTTCTCCCTCCCCCTCCCCTGCAGAATGCCTCTGATTGACAGTTGTCTGTTGATTTTGATTTTTAATTTGTTATAATTACTTTTTCCCCTGATCTCTTATTTGGTTCCTCTGAGTTTAAGGTGAATTTGCTCTCAGAGGGAGCCTTGGGACTCCAAACAAGGAAAGCCAAGCTCCAGCCTGGCCGCTCTGCACACACCCCACACAGCAGCCTGGCCTCTGTGGCTCAGGATGTCCAGAGGCATGATGGAAAGGGAGCAGGTAGACAGACAGGCCCAGGGATTTTCCAGTGTGACCAGAAAATACAAAATGACACAAAACCGTGATGCAGGGAGCTATTGTTACAGTAAGGGCCTAGAAGGAAACACTCTTCTATGACATGATTCCCTGGAGAGGAGCGGTAATGCCCTGTTACTGGGAGACTTGTAGGAACATTCTAACATGTTCCTTCTAGGTAAGGGGAGGGTGTCATAGGATCAGTGGGCCTCTGCAGGTACTGGGGATGGATTGGAGAGGGAGGAGCTTATGCATAGAAGGGCCTTAGTCTGTTCTTCCCCTTCCTCCCTGCTGGAAGAGGGAGGGTGGGAGGTGTGGGAGAAGAGGGAGGAGAAGGGGCAAAGGGAGGCTGAGGAGAAAGGGAGAGACAAGAGTCTGGAAGCTGGAGAGTCAATCATCTTTATCACTGGCGAAACTGGGGATCTGTTGAGCGCACACAGCTCTCCATTCGGATAAATGTGAGACTGAGACCGGCTACCTGGACAGGCTGTTCACAGCAAAAGGGAAATAGTGGGAGTGGGGAGGTGGGGAGGGGGCTGCTGAGACATGTCTCTCTCCCCTCCTCTGCCCAGCAGATGACTTGGCCCCCTTCTTTGGGCAATGAAGAGAGGGGAACTGTGGAACCAGGGACAGTCTAAATAGGAGTAGGGAAGTAGTACTTCCTCCTGACAATTGTTCATACTCGGGCCTCCCTGTGGCATAGGGTTGTTAAAGACAGCGCTATCAAGCTATTGGCAGCAACTTCAGCACAAGTTTGATCCCAGGATGGCCAGGGAGCTGCCCACATGGCACAGCAGACCTCTCCTGACTTGCCCGCTGCTCCCCTCAGCAGTGTATTTCAGTCAGTCTGCCTGTTCTGTTCCCCACTCTATCTCTGGTGAATCCTCTCACCCACCCCCACACCTCTGGCCTGTACCCCAGTTCTTGTATGCATAAATAAATAAATCTTAAAAAAAAAAAAACAATTGTTTAAACTCATTCCTACTCAGATGCTTGCCAATAGAATGCCTATGTGGTTGTTTCGACAGCAAAGGTCAAAGTTTCAGCCAGGTGTTTTCTCTGTGAGGCATACAGGAGGACCCTGAGTTTCTTCTGTAAGCATTATTTTCAAAATAATGATAATTTACCATCACAGTTCTTCTTGTAAAAAATAGGTTTTTGTTATTTCTGGGAAGTGAAAATCATTATTGTACTCAGGTGTCTGGAAAAGAATATGTTACATTAAATGAACCATTAAATGTTAATTTACTGTGAAGCTAAATGGAAAGGCTGGCTAAATAAATTATCTTAGCATTTTGGAGGAGGGGGTGGGGGGCATTAGGGATGGACAGGTTGTCAGAGAGGCTAGCCAGTTCTAAAATGTTTGTTTTCAAAGGTCAAACCTTCTAACACATTTCAAAATTATCTAGGATTCTTGTTAAAAGCTTAGGCTGATCCCTAACCTAATGAATTGGTCTTGGTTGGGAGCAGAGGGGCCAAGGGAAAAATATGAAATACATATTTTCAGATTCCTTAAGTGATTACTCCCAGACACCAGAGCTTGAAAATTATTGCTCTGTGTGGGAAATAAAGAGACTGAGGGAGTATTAATAAATTTAAACTTAATGATTTTATTCATACGGCAGGTACTGTTGACTTTGGGTAATTTTTTCTAGTCTGTTGACTAGAATTATGTCTGCTACTGACATTGTAGCATACAAATGCTGAAGTGAAAGTCTTTTAGCAGTACATTTGAATTTCTAATATCTGACATTTCCTGACAGTCATTAGTCCACATTTTTCTAAGCTAATGGTCATAATCAGGAAACAGCTTCTTACCTAAGCCACTAAATCATTGTCTTTGATGAAAGCAGAACTAGAAATAGGACTTGTTTTCCCTCCAACTGGGCTTTACTCTCTAACTGGCATTTATTTTTTCCAGTGTTAAAAGTTACCCTTCTTTAAGGAAAAATATTCCACCACTATTTCCCACTCACTAAGATTTTGAAGCTAGTGTTTCCCAAATGTATTGTCCATCAGAACAATCTAGAGTCTGGGGGGAGCTTACCAGACCTTTGACTCAGTTAGCCTCTGGTATTTGTATGGACAGGAGGTTGTGGGTGCAAATCACTCACTACAGTGGATGCTGGTGCAGGAGCCACTCTTTGAATGTTGCACACAGTCCTGCTCCCCGAGTTGTTAATATTCTTCTGCCAGCATCACCAGGAGAAGAGTCGAGCCATGTAAGGAGGAGTCAAATGAACGGATCTTGAGCTCATAAAGAACACAGACAAATCCCAGTGACCAAACTGGGTTGCATCCGGATGTATAAACTCCAGGG